ATTAAATAAAAAAGTTAAATTATATCAAAATAAGTAAATAAATGTTAAATTATATCAAAATAAGTAAATAAAAGTTAAATTATATCAAAAAGTAAATAAAAAAGTTAAATTATATCAAAAAAAGTAAATAAAAAGTTAAATTATATCAAAAAGATTATATCAAAAAGTAAATAAAAAGTTAAATTATATAAAAAGTAAATAAAAAGTTAAATTATATAAAAAAGCAAATAAAAAGTTAAATTATATAAAAAAGCAAATAAAAAGTTAAATTTTATCAGTTGGTTCAGAGATTTATGTAGGTTTTTCAACATTAATTTTAAAACGATTTATCTCGGTTTAGAATAACCTTTTGGATCGAAATAAAATAAAAACATTAGTATCGACGACACCTTGCCAATAAGATACAAGTTTATTTCTTGTTTTAAGATAGAATTCTGAAGTTCTGGAGGTGACGAATTCTTCGGAGGCTTCGTGGCTGTTGGGTTGTTGTAGACGTTTCCCTGCAAGAAGTTGCCGAATGATTTGAAAAAATAGTTATCAATTTAGTGAAAGGTCCTATAATTATACTGGATGTGTTTCTTAGCCACAGATCGAGCAGTGAGGTACAGAGATTTGGTGATGTTTGGTGATGCCCGGGATAACTTCAATATTGTATGCCCCTAAGAACCAAGTATAGGGCTTGGTACTCGGAAATGAGAGAAAGGCAGACATTTTAAATATGTAAAATCAGATGAAACATGAAATAAAGACTTTATTCAAATTAAATATAAACTAATTTTTTATTTCACTCTTTGATTGGATTTCCTCCCGATATAGATGCCCGAAGCCGTCTCACCCTTCTGTCAACCCCCTCCCCCCACTTCTGCATGCTACTGCATCTTGAGCATCGGTGGTGTAACGCGTGGTCAAGCAATGTCATGTAAGAGAACTGGATATTTTCTATTGACCAATGCTGGAGACATACACTGAATTTCTTTTGCATTTCATCGATTTTGTGATAGTGTTTCGATGCAGTGATAGTTTCATCAGGATTCAGAAATTTTTAATGGATTAATCCAACTGCAGACGACCAAACGGTCATCATTTGGCGAAAATCCTGTCTTGACATCTTAAATTCAAATATCTGAAAATTGATAAAAATGCAATTTATATTTTAAAAGGGTTAAATAGAAAGAAATCACAGAGATAATCTTTAATGTGATGCATAATTTTCTACAGCATGTGTGATCTTTTATTCTTAAAAATGTAGAAAAAATAGAAACATAAAATATACTTTAATTTATGAACAATCTAATATTAATTACAATCCCCATCTTCAGCCCAATATATTTGTAATTTTTTGCATTTCCCAGCGATAACATTCTGAGTTTGGCTGAAAAGAAAGCTAGAAAACATAAATTGAACATATCATACAGGTTTGAAATTTGCTTTGCTTTTCCATCAGCAAAGTCACCAGGATCCGACTGTACACGTCTATTCTTTGACCACCGACAATCGATGCTAATGAGACCTGCAAGGTGACCAAGAAAATCTGAAAACTTGTTTCCATAGACGCTGCTTGAGGACCATACCGTAGATCGTGATCATGTTACGAATGAAGAAGTCCTATAGAGAGCAAGTTTATGTAAACTACAAGACACGATCAACATAAGACGTCGGTAGGTGATCGGTTACCTATACTAATACCCACAGAGTGACCAGCTATAGCTTTCTCGAAAATTAAGCCAAAAAGAAGTTCGGGAAGAGAGGTAATCCTGTCAAAGCATAGGCTAAGACCATACAAAAAAGTAAAAGAGATTGGCCTGAGGAGGACAGTCATCGCCCAGTGCTTCGAACGGAGTGGCAGAAACTGAGAATAAAAGACTTAGACAAAGTAATGGTACCTTCCTTATTTCTAGATGTCCAGGCTCTAAACATTTCTGTGATTGTTCTTAAGAACATTAAACCAGAGCTATTCCGAATCTTGCCAAAAGCGTTTAACGTCTGCCTGGAAGAGAAACGTTTCCCAAATATATGGAAGTTTTCATCTGTCTACTCAGTTTACAAGAGTTCTCATCCCCGTCACAATATCGTCTCATCAGACTCATTTGTGTCATAGAGCAAAACTTTTGAGACCATATAGTTTTCATCACCTCAACGGAAACAACCTCCTGAGCAGCAAATAGTATGGAATTCGCTTCTCTCAGTCCACTGCTGATGGCTCAGCTGTCATTAAGCATGGAATCAGTGAAGCGCTTGATAATAAATTAATTACGAGGGCGACCGCCTTAAATGTCTAAATGGCTTTTGACCGGACGTGGCTTGGGTAGGTGTGGGTAAACAAAGTAATTTCTAAGGAATCAATAGATATTTTATCTGACATTATTTTCTAATACTACAAACGTTACGTTTCGGATATAAAAAAATGAACAGGAATGGATTTTCGAAAAGATCTGAACAAGAGTTTATGCATTCACCAAAAAGGATATTTGAACTTTACTCAGCTTTGAAGCTTCTGTGACATAGCGGTCTAAAGTACGCCGGATCAGACGGTGGTTTCTCCTACAAGAGGGGACGCCTGTCCATACTCTCCCGGAGAGCATATTTATCGTTATTATTTCTCTCGAATGCGCTGGCTAATACACATAATTTACAGTCTTTAAAAAATAATTAAAAGATGCGTGTATCAACAAAATAATGTTGAGAGTAGTAAATATATATATATATATATATATATATATATATATATATATATATATATATATATATATATATAACAAAGGAAGTCTGTGTATCTGTGTGTCTGTGTTTATTCATGAAAGTACTTTAAAGTAATTGAAGATAGACTCTGTTACATCTAAACATGATTCTGTTTTTGTTCCATTTTAATTAAAAGCTTTTTCTGATCGACCAGCTGGGTATGGCTGCTAGTATATATATATATATATATATATATATATATAGTTTTAAGGTGTGCTATATTTATGAGATAAAGTACACAATATCATAGATAGAGCGTGTGTAAATATAGATATATAAATGAATATAGCAGTCAACACTTAGAAGCGACAGGCTGTTTTTATGCTAGACGCAATCGTTAGGTCGCGTGTGTTCTGAAGACTTGCGGCCTGACGATTGCGTCTAGTATGAAACAGCCTGTCGAATCTGAATGTTGACTTCTATGTTCACTATTATATCTATCTCTCTCTCTCTCTCTCTCTCTATATATATATATATATATATATATATATATATATATATATATGGAGAGAGAGAGAGAGATCGAGAAAAAAAAAGAGGGAATACCTACACTGTCAATAAGTCCATAGTCTAACCTATTCACTCGAGATCCATCCAACCTATTTTTCACCAAACTTGGCACATACATTGTACAATGTAAGAGATAGGTTCTTAGCGTAAAAATCGATAATTTAAAAAAAATCAATAATAGATAAAGCCGATCAAAAATTCAACATTTTTACTGCGATTTCGTTCAAACTAGGTATATAGGTTACTTACATCATGACGAGCTCAACGGTACCTCATTTTTACTTCTACGCCACTGCGTTTAGTGAGAAACCGCGAAAAACTAAAAAGCTATTTCAACACAAATCGATTTCAACACAAATTTTAAACTAAAAACTCCCTCAATTTCCAAGCAATCTAATACAAACTTCACTCAGTTGTAGCCAACAATAAGTTGATTGTTTAACAGTCATTTAACTTGATAATCGAGTTCACCCATATAGTAAAAACCCGCGTAAACAGCGAAAAATGGTGATTTTTACTGGTTTCTTCCTTAGTTTTCGCTTATCTTTTAACCAATTTTCATCAAATTTAACAATTGCTTTATAAATGTATCCTCTTTTATATACTTGGTAGCACACTAACAAATTGAATTTCAAGAATTCCAAAATTATTGTCGTCTGAAGCGGGTCTTCATGTTGCCTGTTTTACCCCTCCATGTCCTCAGCTAACTTCGATTGAATAAATACAGACTACTTCTGTTATATCAGTAACTGCATTATTTCAAAATGTTTTTTTAATGAAAGTACTTCAAAGTAATTAAAGAAGATAGACTCTGTTACATCTAAACATGATGCTGCTTTTGCTCCATTCTAATTGAACGCTTTTTCTGATCGACCAGCTGGTTATGTTTTGCTAGTATATATATATATATATATATATATATATAATTATTTTTTTAAAAATATGATTCCAAATCGCGACATAAGAAGTCTCATGTTTCAAAACAAGAGCCGAAAACTTCAATATAATTATTTAAATTAAATTGAGTTAAAGTAAGCTCTGTTCCATCTTCAAGCGAAATTTTTTGGAATAACGTATTTCTGAAATTTACGTGTTTTAAAAATTGAAATCAAAATTTCCATGGTAACAGCTAGGGCGAATTGTTTAAATTGGGTAGGGCGAGTGTTGGGTGTTAATAAAAAGTATCAGTATAGAGTTACTTTCATAGATGTCAAGTCAGGGAAAGGTGGGGTGTCTAAATTTTAAACGGAAGATGTATTAACCCTCCTCTAGTTTGCATGTCTATGGAAATTTATTTATTTATTTTTTTATGAAAGGAATTCGTGCATATAAAAAAACTGTCGTAACTTTTGTTTTTTGACGACTTCATAAAGGGTTATCTTTTTTGTAGGGTATTTAATTATAAATTATACCCAATTTAAACAATTCGCCCTAGATGTTACCATGGAAATTTTGATTTCAATTTTTAAAACACGTAAATTTCAGAAATACTTTATTCCAAAAAAAAAATTCGCTTGAAGATGGAACAGGGCTTACTTTAACTCAATAAATAATTATATTGAAGTTTTCGGCTCTTGTTTTGAAACATGAGACTTCTTATGTTGCGATTTGGAATCATAATTTTAAATAAATAATTATATTTATGCTCTACTTTTGCATCGAGCACTATTTTAAAAAAATAATAACTAAAATACTAAGGGACTTTGGATTATTTACCTAACCAGTTCTTCCTATTTTCTATATATTTTCACAGATAGATAGATAGATAGATAGATAGATAGATAGATAGATAGATCGAACATGATACAATAAAAACCTCATATTAAATATTTGCAATTTTTTTCTACAGCTTATCAACCTTTTTTCAGGTCATTTAAACCAAGAAAATATTGATACAAGTCTTACTAATTAACCCATAACTGGAGGAGAACAGGTGGATTCATACCTTCCCTGAGGGTATTTGCGCGTAAGTGAATATAACAAACACAACTGAAATTGGAACTCGGCTCTCCGATTAACAATTCCGAACCATTATCTATTACACCACCCGCACAACCAAATTTACTTCACCTAGTAATCCATGAAATAAATTGTCAGACTACAGAATTATTGGTTCATTCTCGTACTTGTGTATGTATATATGTATGTATCTATGTACCTATCTATCTCTCTGTCATACACACACGCGCGCAAAACGTTTGATGCTCGTTAAACGTCCACCCACATTCATCCTGTTACTAAAGATGAATCAGGTGTGAAATTGAGACAATTTAATCAGCTGTGAAATACAGACAATTTAATTAGCTGTGAAATTCAGACAATTTAATTAACGAAAAGAAAAAAATCATGACATTTGAAACATTAGATTTCCTTTCCAAAATGAAAATGTAGGAAACTGTGTTTTCCGTTCTTGTCAAAAAAGAAAGCCGTCAGAAAAATGCCTGACCAAACACTAAAACTTCATAAGTAATTTGTTATACTTTCGCATAGTTACACATAACACATCGACACATCATGTCGAGCTTGGAGAGACCAGTAAGTTCATGCCTTTAAGTGACATAAATAATTTTCTACGTGGCAGAATTTCGATAGCTCAACAATCGAAGTATATCTTATAAACTTGTAGATCGTCAGATATAATGGATGTTCCACGGTATTTCATGGATACTCCATCGTATTTATCGGGATACTGGGAGATGCAAAATAGGCTGTTCTAAAATAGGTCAGTGCTCACCAAAGCAATGATGTAATTTGAACTGTGTCATTACGGAAAATTAGAAGAATCACACGAGTTTGTAAGCTATCACTTCATAATATGCCATTTCCTACAAACTTCTATAATTATTTTAAAATGTTTTTAAAAATATCGTAAAAGAAAGAAAGAAGACAATTAAAACAGAAATTCTAAAAGAATGAACGAAGGAAAGAAGAAATGAACGAATTTATAAAAAAAGAAAAATTGCTGAAAGTTAAATGAACGAAAAAGATTGATTGAATGAATGAATGAATGAATGAATGGAAGTCTGCATAAGATTGAATAGGTAAATTTATCGGAGTTAGCTCCTCCTTAATTCCCTAATTGTTCACTAGGGGTCGCTCTCCCTACACTATAAATACTGGGCGACTTCTTGCCTCGTTCTCTTTTCTACTTTGCATTTCAGCGGATACATTTAAAAATGTGATCTCTCGCAGTGATCCGCGTTTTCTCCCACTTGTGGGAAAAGGCCATGAAACACACATACACGTACGTACGAACATTCACCAAAGAACAAACTCTTTACGTCCACGAAAAAACACAAATGTTGATGTCTTTGCCACTTGTAAATTTGTTGTTTAATACATATCTTTGTTGACATATATATATATCGGTCTTGTTTGTTTTCTTTACATCTTCGGTTGAACTCAACTTGAGTCCACCATTTTCTTTTAGTTGAACCTTTTTCTAGCAGGAATGATGTTATGGTGGAACACATCTATTCTATAGTTAATAGACTCCCCCACCTATAATAAGTAGAAGTAGTAAGAGTAAGGAGTCAGTCAGTCGGTCAGTCAGTCGACCACCGCAAGATTGCTCTGCGTAATGCCTATTATATCAAGTTCCTAACGTTTTGTACGTCGAACCTATTAGGACCGACTTAGTACAAATACAAGCCTCCACTGTGAAATCACTCCATAACAATATTTGGCGACGAGGGATTCGAATCCATACGGTGGAAGAAAAAAAAATTCCCTCGCCACAACAATATTTGGCGACGAGGGATTCCGATTCATAGGTGGAAGAAAAAAAATTCGCTCGCCATAACAATTTTTGGCGACGAAATACGTACTCATACGGAGGGAGAAAAAAAATTCGCTCGCCACAATAAGGTTTGGCGACGAAATTCGCACTCATAGGAAGGGAAAAAAAATTCGCTTGCCATAACAATTTTTGGCGACGGAATTCGTACTCATACAAAGGAAAAAAAATTCGCTCGCCATAACAATTTTTGGCGACGAAATTCGCACTCATACAGTGGAGGGAAAAAAAATTCGCTCGCCATAACAATTTTTGGCGACTAAATTCGTACTCATACGGAGGAAAAAAAATTCGAAAAAATCTGTCGTATTCTCAACTGAGAAAAGAATTTTTTTCTCCCGATAATACAGTTTGCTCAAATAGGTCACGAATTGCAAATTCTTAGGAACCCCCCTCTACAGTATTTAGGCATTGTGTAATTTTTTGCGAAGATGGAGGAATGCAAAAATATATTCCGGGAATTCTTTAAGTTCCTGTCGGAAAACAGATGACAATATTAGAGCAACAGAAAACATTCCAGATGCAACTACAGGAGGAAACTTTCAATAGACAAATGCAATTTCAACAAGAAATGGAACAGATGCATAGGGAGTTTCAAAACAAAATTCTGGAAATAACTGAGAAGAGAAAAGAGAAAAATGTACAAAATGATTCTTTCCCAGAGAATACAATATGGAATTCAATTGAAATATTCACGTACAGTCCAGATGAAGAGATAACTTTTGAGGAGTATTATAAAAAATATACAAACGTGTATAATGAGGACTGCCACTCGTGCTCTGAAGGAAAGAAGGTTAGGCTTCTTTTAAGCAAATTAGGAACTGCTGAGCATAAAAAATTGATAAACTACATTTTACCGAAAAAAACTAGCGAGTTGACATTTACCGAGGCGGTAAATATATTAAGTGAATTAATTAGTAAAAAGACATCTTTGTTTCACAAAAGGTGGAAATGTTTGAATTTGATGAAAGATGACGAACAAGACTATATAACGTATGCAGTCAATGTGAATAAACATTGTGAAGAATTCAAGCTGGCAGAGTTAAGCGCAGACAATTTTAAGTGCTTGGTGTTCGTTCAAGGGCTGGTATCGGAAAGAGACGCAGAGTTGAGAAAATTAGTACTGGCAAAATTGGAAAGCAATCCAAATCTTACAGCACAGAAGTTGGCAGAAGACTGCACAAGATATGTTAGCGTAAAGAAAGATTAAAAAAAGATAGAACAGTCTGGCGTTTCGCATGTAAGGAAAATATGCTACAAAGAAGAAAGTCAGTCTACCAAAAAGAATTCTAAAATTGCGGATTATCTAACAAAAAGTGAAATACCAGAGAAAAATAGACAAAAACTCCCCAAGCCATGTTTTGCTTGCAGGGAACTACACTGGTACAAATATTGCAATTTTAGGAATAAAAAATGTTTCAACTGTAAAAGAGTGGGTCATAAAAGCTCGCACTGCAGGTCAAAAAATAAAGACAATAAAATAAGAAAATTAAAGTCCAATAAGATGAACGATGGAATAACCAGAAAATTTGTTACCGTCGAAATAAGTAATAAAAAAATAAAAATGCAACTCGACACTGGTTCCAACCTATCTATCATAAATTTGCATACGTGGAAGAAGTTGGGAAAACCAACTTCAATGAAGACAAAGAAAATCGCGAGGTCAGTGACGGGAGAAAAAATACAATTTATTGGCGAATTTGTTACAAACGTCACGTTAAATAATAAAAAAACGCGAAAAGCTAAACTATTTGTCATAGAAAATACCACGAACTTACTTGGTACGAATTGTATAACAGAATTCCAATTATGGGATCTACCGATAAATTCTTTCTGTTGCAAGGTAGAAAATTTAAACACAGAAGCCCAAAAATTAGTCAAGAAACTTAAGGAAACATTTCCTACTGTTTGTTCTCCAGGGTTGGGAACGTGTACCAAGATAGAGGCAAAATTCCAGCTATAAGAAAACGCTCAGGCGGTATTCAAAAAGAAAAGGAATGTGCCGTTTGCCTCAGTTGAACAAATAGATAAAGAATTAGAGAGATTAGAGAATACCGGTGTATTTTTAAAAAGTTGAGTATAGTGTATGGGTAACGCCGACGATATATGTGAAAAAAAAGCTCCAGAAAGTAAAGATGAAGCCGACACCAAGAAAAACTGGGGAGCGAGTTACCCGCAGCCAGAGACATGCAGTATTATTAAATGATTTAAATCAACTGAAGTCACCACAGAAAACGTTAAGAAGTACAAGATCAACAAAAGGGAAGCTAGAGGCTGGACAAATAGAACAAGAAGAACCTACAGAAACTGTGACCCAATCCTTAAGAAGCTCAAAGCCGAAGGTTGTTTCTGGTAACACTATGGAGGTACCAAAAAATAGAAAAACGGATTGGTAATATGATGTACTTGGTGAAAGGCGGAAAATTCACATGCAGACGGCACATTAACCAGATCAGACAACGTTTTTCAGACGTGGTTGACAGCGGTCTCACAAAAGAAACGCCGATGGAGGTGATTTTCGAAACGTTTGATCTAACAACGCCTGCAACAATTTTACCTGATTTACGCCGATCCAGGAGAAAAATAAAGGCAACTGATCATTTAAAAGTGGATCCAAAACGTAGGAGATACGCTACGATGTTGCTAAAAAAAATGAAGTTTTTTTTTTTTTTGTTTTGTTTTTTCTTCATATTTCCTGTAAAAAATAAATAAAGAAAACTGTTTTACTCCTACGGATTAAAGTTTTAGGAGGGGTTGTTACGGTGGAACACACCTATTCTATAGTTAATAGACTCTCCCACCTATAATAAGTAGAAGTAGTAAGAGTAAGGAGTCAGTCAGTCGGTCAGTCAGTCGATGTCGGACGACAGTTAGTCGAATACTAAAGTATCAGCGACCACCAAGATTACTCTGCGTAATGCCTATTATATCAAGTTCCAAACGTTTTGTACGTCGAACCTATTTTAGGGCCGACTTAGTACAAATACACACTTCTACTTTGAAATC